GGCTCGAGACAGAAGGAACTAATACGAAACGTAAACCGACGGCCCTCCGTACCTACGGAAACTGGTACCCGACAGTTACCCCCAGGTGGCCGGCCACCTCCACCACCCTACATTTATGGGGCTCAACACTTGCTGCGATTGTTCGTGAAACTTCCAGAAATCCTTGGAAATTTGTCCTTTTCTGAGAAGAATCTGAAGGCTTCGCTGAAGCACTTTGCTCTCTTTCTGAGCTTCTTAGCAGAATATCACGATGACTTCTTCCCAGAGTCTGCCTACGTGGCCGCCTGTGAGGCGCACTACGGCTCGAACAACCCCAGGGCGGTTTAGTAGGGTTTTGATGGCTGAGGGTTCTGAAAGAACAGCTTTTCTATCTAGCTGTGCCTTCTAAGTTCCCGGTGAAGAACTAGGGAGCTGGCGGGCCTTCTTTACAGAGTGGATGCAACGCCCACTCTCGGGGTGGGGGTGGGGGCTCTGGCAGAGGCAGACCCTTTTATTTGAATTGCTCACCTACTGTAGTTCTTTCTGTTGAGAATGACTTCTTAGGTGCCTGAACAGCTTCCGACATTTGACCTCTGCCACGGTACATGTCATCTGTGATGGCAGGACGAGAGCAGCTGTGTTCACAGTGAAATGTTCATGACAATGCACAGGCTAGGCTGTTCCAGTAGATGATGGAGTTATTTGTTAGAGATGACCACATTTTTTAGTTATTTGTTAGCATTAAACAAAATTGTTCTGCAAACTGTTTTCATTCTTATGATGAGGCTGAGCAACTGTCCAACAAATTTTAGTTTTGCTTGGAAACCACAAAGTAGTCCCAGAATATTTTAGAGGGAATTAATATTGATGGGGGAAAAATTTGCAGCTATACATTTGCTTGTTACAGTTCCTTTTCCGTAAAACTTTGTTTTTGATGAATTAAATAAAGCAGTGCCTGAATGTTTGAGATTTTACAGCTATACTTGGTTGTGTAGTGTTATGGTTCCCTTTCTGTAAAATGTTATTTTTGATGCTCTAAATAAGTCATTGCCCATCTTATTGGAAATTTAAAAAAAAAAGCCTGCGTGGGGGAGATTTTCCTTGCATGGAGACAGGACTGCATGAAGCTTTTTGAAATACGAGTCCAATGGCATTGGGATTGACAGTTTTGTTTCTTTGCTTGATTCATTTCCGACTAAAAACACAAGCATCCTCTGCTTGGAGCCCTTTTTTTTTAAGGTAAAATTCACACACAGTTTGCCAATTTAAAGTGTACAATTCAGTGGTCTTTGGCATATTGACAACCATCATCACAATCAAATTTAGAACACTGTCATCACCCCTAAAAGGAGCCCTGTGGCTTTTGGCTCCCAATTACCTCCTAAATCCCATTGCCCTTGGTAACCACTTACCTACTTTCTGTCTCTGCAGAGACTCCTGGACATTTCATATAAATTAAACCATGCCATATGAAGTCTTTTGTGACTGGCATCTTTCACTTAGCCTAGGTTTTTCAAGTTCATTCATGTTGTAGCCTGTATCACTATTCCATTCCTTTTTGTGGCTGGATAATATTTCATTGTACAGAGAGACTATATTTTATTTATCCATTCACCAGCTGATGGACATTTGGGTGGATTCCACTTGGCTATTATAAATAATGCTGCTGTAAACATTTGTGTACAAGTACTTGTGTGGACATATGTTTCCATTTCTTTTGAGTGGAATTGCTGAGTCACATGGTAACTTTATGTTTAATTTTTTTGAGGCTCAGCCAGACTGTTTTCCAAAGTGACTGCACCATGTTATAACCCACCAGTGGTGTAGAAGGGTTCTCACTTCTCCATATTCTCACCAACACTTATTATTACGTCTTTTTAATTATAGCTATCCTAGTGGGTGCCAGGTGCTCTCTCACTGTGGGTTTTGATTTGCAGTTTCCTGATGACTGATCATCTGAGAACTTTTAATAAACTTCATTTGCAATTAGGGTTGTCTGCCCATTTGCCATTGTCACCTGATGTGGTATTGCCTCTAAACAACTTGAGGGTCTCCACTCACTCTTTAATTTTTCCCCCAAAGCAAAGTAATGCCCTCTGCATTAGGATTATAATTCAAAGCCTTCTTGAGCATCAGTTGGGGGCTGGACACTGTCCTGGGTGCTGAGGATCCAGCAAAAAGAGCAAGATCTTGCCTCTTGGAGAGCATGGTGGATAGGTTGTGGCTCTGGATTTGAATCCTTGCTTTGTCACCTTCCAGCCACGTGGCCTTGAACAGGATGTCCTGCCTTTCCCAGCTGCAGTTCCCTCATCTGTGAAATAAGGTTGCTCTGCGAGTTACATGGAAAGCACTTAGCACGGCGTCTGGTACCTAGTGACTGCTCAGTAGGCATTCGTTACTGTTAAAGATGAAGCCAGACAATGAAATAAACGTTAGCAATAATGAAGAGTTAGGTATGATCAGAGAAACACAAAGTGTCATGGAACACAGAGCGGGGATCCCCCAGCCCAGTCCAGGGTCTAGGAAAGGTTACTCCAAGAGGAAGTGATGTTTAAACAAAGAGGGT